AAGTATGAGTCAGTGGCCGAGGGTCCAAATTTTAATCGCACGAGCAGGGAGACGACGCAGCGGTCGTAAGCGTGAAAAACAATCGTTAAGTCGCTTTTTTCAGCGCTGTCGTAACTTAAAACAATCACTGAGAGAACGGTCGTTAAGTCGAGGACCACCTGTATTTTTAAGACGGGCTTGTCAGAAGCCAGAGAGGGTCTTAAGACCCCTGGCCCTGGATGAGATTCCCTTTTTCTGGGCAGAGATGGAGGGACATTCGTTGAATAGAAATTTATCTCCAATAATAATAAATATAGAGTTGGAAGGGTCCTTGGAGGTCATCTAATCCAGCCACCTGCTCAGGCAGGAAGGCCTATACCAAGGGTAGGCAACCTTGGCTCTTTTATGATTCGTGGACTTCAACTCCCAGAATTCCTGAGCCAGCCATGCTGAGGGGAAAGGGAGAGGTTTCCAAGCTGAGCCGTGCTGGCTCAGGAATTCTGGGAGTTGAAGTCCACGAGTCATGAGGGGGGCATAGTTCCCCCATGCTGGCTCAGGAATTCTGGGAGTTGAAGTGCACGAGTCATGAAGGGGCCATAGTTCCCCCATGCTGGCTCAGGAATTCTGGGAGTTGAAGTCCACCAGTCATGAAGGGGCCACAGTTCCCCCATGCTGGCTCAGGAATTCTGGGAGTTGAAGTCTATGAGTAATGAAGGGGCCATATTTCCCCCATGCTCACTCAGGAATTCTGGGAGTTGAAGTCCACCAGTCATGAGGGGCCATAGTTCCCCCATGCTGGCTGAGGAATTCTGGGAGTTGAAGTCCACGAGTCATGAAGGGGCCATAGTTCCCTCATGCTCGCTCAGGAATTCTGGGAGTTGAAGTCCACCAGTCATGAGGGGCCATAGTTCCCCCATGCTGGCTGAGGAATTCTGGGAGTTGAAGTCCACGAGTCATGAAGGGGCCAAAGTTTCCCTCATGCTGGCTCAGGAATTCTGGGAGTTGAAGTCCACCAGTCATGAAGGGGCCATAGTTCCCCCATGCTGGCTCAGGAATTCTGGGAGTTGAAGTCCACGAGTCATGAAGGGGCCAAAGTTTCCCTCATGCTGGCTCAGGAATTCTGGGAGTTGAAGTCCACCAGTCATGAGGGGCCATAGTTCCCCCATGCTGGCTGAGGAATTCTGGGAGTTGAAGTCCACGAGTCACGAAGGGGCCAAAGTTTCCCTCATGCTGGCTCAGGAATTCTGGGAGTTGAAGTCCCAGAGTCATAAAAGGGGCAAGATTGCCTATCCCCGGCTTAGACCTTGTCAGACAAATGGCTGTCCAGTCTCTTCTTGAAAACCTCCCAGTGTTGGAGCAGCCACAGCTTCTGGTGGCAAGGAGTTCCACTGGTTAATTGTCCTCACTGTCAGGAAATTCCTCCTGAGTTCCAGGTTTATTTATTTATTTATGAGACTTATATACCGCTTTAAGTGCAAGCACTCTCTAAGCGGTGTACACCAGTAAGCAATGTATATATATATATATATTTACATTGCCCCCAATAATCTGGGTTGCTTCTCTCCTGGGTGTAGTTTCCCTTTGTCTGCCAAGGTGAGCCTGTTTGGGAGGCGGGAGGGTGCCTGTTTGGGAGGGGGGGGGGTCTCCCCTGCCCCGTTCCCCTTACCTCGAGGCGCTTCACTTGGGTCCTCTCAAACTCAAGGCGGGTCTCCAGCTCCCGGATCTTGGCCTCCTGCCGGCTGACCAAGGACTTGTCCACCATGGTCTGCTCCAGGAATTCCACCTGACTCTGCAGGGCTTGCAGCTGGGGAGGAAGGGGGGATTGCTTAGGGGGGCTACGGGGGGGGGGTCTGGAGAGGCTGCCCCCCACTTGTGCCCCCCAGTTCGAGAAATACCTTCTCCTGCAGCTCCTGCTTCTCCTTCTGGGTGTCCTCCAGTTGCGACTGCAGATCGTTGATCTGGCCCAGGTCCCGTGAGGCCTGGGGGGGGGGGAGGAGGAGAGGGTGATCTCCAGGGAAGGGGGGACACCCCTCACACACACCCCACATCTGGTTCCTGCCTCCCCACCCTCTGAGACTCTTTCTTTCTTTCTTTCTTTCTTTCTTTCTTTCTTTCTTTCTATCTCCCTTCCTTCCCTTCTTTCCTTCCTCCCTCCCTCCCTGCTTCCTTCCTTCCTTCCTTCCTTTCTTTCTTTCTTTCTCTTTCTTCCCTCCCTCCCTTTCTTCCTTTCTTTTCTTTCATTTCATTTCCTTCCCTTCTTCCCTCCTTTCCTTCCCTCATCTTTCTTTCTTTTTTTCCCTCTCTCCCTTTCTCTTATTTCTTTTTTCTTTCTTTTCTTCCCTTCTTTCCTCCCTTCCTTCCCTCATCTTTCTTTCTTTCTTTTCTTCCTTCCTTCCCTCCCTCCCTTTCTTTCTTTTCTTTTTTTTAGTTCATTTCCTTCCCTTTTTCCCTCCCTCTCTTCCTTCCCTCATCTATCTTTCTTTCTCTTTCTTTTCTTTCTTCCTTTCTTCCCTTCCTCCCTCCCTCTCTCTCTCCCCCCCTCTCTCCCCCCATCCCTCCCCACCTCCCCTCCACTGGTTGACCTCCCACCAACAAGCAGCCGAAGCCCCAGGGGGACCCCACTAGGCCTGGTTGGATAAGGGGGCGGAGGGGGCGGTTTGTGCTCAGCCCCACTGAAAGGAAAGGAACAGAGTCAAGGCAGGGAAATTCTCAGGCCTGCAAAGATTTAAGAAGTGTTGACCACTTAGAAAGAAAGAAGGAAGGAGGGAGGGAGGGAAGGAGGGTGGATGGAAGGAGAGGAGAGGAGGAGGGGAGGGAGATAGAAAGAAAGAAGGGGAGAGGAAAGAAAGAAAGAAAGAAAGAAAGAAAGAAAGAAAGAAAGAAAGAAAGAAAGAAAGAAAGAAATAGGGAGGGAGGAAGGAAGGAAGGGAGAGAGGGAAGGAGGGAAGGAAGGAAGGAAGGGAAGAGAGATAGAAAGAAAGAAGGGGAGAGGAAAGAAAAAAAGACAGAAAGAAAGAGAGAAAGACAGAGGAAGAAAGAAAAAGACAGACAAAAAGAAAAAAGAAAAAGAAAGACAGAAAGAAAAAGACAGAAAGAAAGAAAGAAAGAAAGAAAGAAAGAAAGAAAGAAAGAAAGAAAGAAAGAAAGAAAGGAGGGAAGCAGGGAGGGAGGGAGGAAGGAAGGAAGGGAGGGAAGGAGGGAAGGAAAGAAGGGAAGGAAGGAGATAGAAAGAAGGGGAGAGGAAAGAAAGAAAGAAAAAGAAAGACAGAAAGAAAGAAAGAAAGAAAGAAAGAAAGTAAGAAAGAAAGAGGGAAACAGGGAGGGAGAGAGGGAGGGAGGGAGGGAAGGAAAGAAGGGAAGGAAGGGAGATAGAAAAAAGAAAGGGAGAGGAAAGAAAGAAAGACAGAAAGAAAAAGACAGAAAGAAAAAAAGAAAAAGAAAGACAGAAAGAAAGAAAAAGACAGAAAGAAAGAAAGAAAGAAAGAAAGAAAGAAAGAAAGAAAGAAAGAAAGAGGGAAGCAGGGAGGGAGGGAGGAAGGGAGGGAAGGAGGGAAGGAAAGAAGGGAAGGAAGGAGATAGAAAGAAAGAAGGGGAGAGGAAAGAAAGAAAAAGAAAGAAAGAAAGAAAGAAAGAAAGAAAGAAAGAAAGAAAGAAAGAAAGAAAGAAAGAAAGAAAGGAAAGTAAGAAAGAAAGAGGAAAACAGGGAGGGAGAGAGGGAGGGAAACGGAGGGAGAGAGGGAGGAAAGAAGGGAGGGAGGGAGGGAGGGAGGGAGAGAAGGAAAGAAGGGAAGGAAGGGAGATAGAAAAAAGAAAGGGAGAGGAAAGAAAGACAGAAAGAGAAAGACAGAAAGAAAAAGAAAGAAAGAAAGAAAGAAAGAAAGAAAGAAAGAAAGAAAGAAAGAAAGAAAGAAAGAAAGAAAGGACACCCACTATCTGCACCGGAGCTTCTGTCCAGCCAGACCCCAACCTGGAGAGAGACAGAAAGAGAGAGGGAGGGAGGGAAGAAGATGGAAGGAAGGAAGGAAAGGAAGGAAGGAAGGAAGGAAGGAAGGAAGGAAGGAAGGAAGGAAGGAAGGAAGGAAGAGAAGCATCCCAACCCCATGGGAACAAAGGCCACCCAACGAAGGGCCCCTTCAACCACGCATCCCCGATTCCCACCCTTGACCCTGACTGCCCCCCCTTCCGGGCAAAGCGTGGGAGGGGTGCGGGGGGGGGGCAGGCAAGGGGGCGCCTTTGGACCCACCTGGGCCACGGCCGCCTTGTGCTTCTTCATCAGCTCGTTCATGTCCTCCTGGTCTTCCTCCAGCCGGCTCTGGACCTCGTTCTTCTCCCGCTGCAAACGGCTCAGCTGCTCCTCCAGCTGGGGAGGGAGGGGGGGAGGGGGGAGACTTCAGACCCCCGTCCCCCCCCAGGAGGGCTTCGGGAGGGGGGTCCCAGGCCTCGAGGGAGGGGGAACTGGCCCTGCGGGGGACCCCCGTATCCGCCTCTGCTTCTCTCGGGTTTGACACCCAGGAGATGGCCACCACCGAGCCCCAAATTTCAGTCACTAAGCGAGGCAGGTGCTAACTGCCCCGTTTTACGACCATTCTCGCCACCGCGCTTAGGTGAGTCGCTGCACTGCTTTAACTTAGTCACGCAGGTCGTTAAGCGAATCCGGCTCCGCCCCGCCTGTCGGGAGGACGCAAAAGGGGATCACGCAACAGCCCCTCACCCCCAGGACGCTGTGACCGTCATAAATATGAGTCGGCGGCCGAGCGTCTGAATTTTGAGCACATGGGGATGCTGCGATGGTGGCCAGTGTGAAATACAGCCCTAAGTCGCTTTCTCCAGGGCCGTTGTTATAATAATAATAATAATAATAATAAAAAAGTCAGAAGGGACCTTGGAGGTCATCTAGTCCAACCCCCCGCTCAGGCAGGAAACCTATACCATGTCGGACAAATGGCTGCCCAGTCTCTTCTTAGAGACTTCCAGTGTTGCAACATTCACAACTTCTGGAGGCAGGTTGTTATAATAATAATAACGTTGGAAGGGACCTTGGAGGTCATCTAGTCCAACCCCCTGCCCAGGCAGGAAACCCTATACTGTTTCAGACAAATGGCTGTCCAGTCTCTTGTTAAAAACTTCCTGTGTTGGAGCATTCACCACTTCTGGAGGCAGGTTGTTAATAATAACAATAAAGTGGGAAGGGACCTTGGAGGTCATCTAGTCCAACCCCCTGCCCTGGCAGGAAACCCTGTCCAGTCTCTTCTTAAAAACTTCCAGTGTCGGAGCATTCCTTCGACCGGTCAGTAAATGAACCGTCGTTAAGTCGAGGACTGCCTGTATTTCACATTTTGCATTTTGTAATCTCTTGTGAGTTTTTTTGTTGTTGTTGTTGTTCGAAACGGAATGCGAACGATCAATAAATCCCACCCTGGGACGTGAGGTCTGCCCCCCCCCCGTCCTCTGGGTCTCCCGGAAGGGGGTCTTGCCCACCGGCCTGGTGCCCCCAATTTTGGGGGGAAGACATCCCACTTGCCGAGACCGGCCCAAAAGTGGCCAGGAAAGCAGTTGTGGCATTTGGGGAAGCCGTGGGGCCGGTTTACTGGCGTCCTTCCTGCATCCTGAAAAAAGCCCTTTTATTTTTATTTTTATTTTTTTGCTTCTCCGGGCACAGCTCCAAAACTGGATCGCTGAGTCTGCCAATTAGCCCGAAGCTTTGATGTCTCCTAATTAATCCTCTCTTCTTTTTTAAAAAAATTTTCATTAAAAGGAACATTTAGTAAAATGAAGTTTACGTCGGGAACTTCTGGGACAAGGAAAGGGACTAAGGGTGGCCTCAGCGAGATCCACCTTAGCAGGGAAAATGGATTTCGAAGCAGGGAGATGCTCGCCGGCCTCTGCGGGCCACCCCCCCCCCCAATTCCACAGGGGAAACTGAGTCCGGGACAGGCTTTGGCCTACCGCTCCTTTCGCTTTGGAGAAGTCCTCGATCTGCAGGTGCAAGTCCTCAATCTCCACCTCCATGGATTTGCGGGCTTTGACGGCGGCCGAGCAGGTGAACTCCGACTCTTCCAGCTGTGGGGAAGAGGGGGGGGGAAGGGCCGGTCAAGGGGGCCGTGGCCTGGAGACCCTCCCCCAACTATTCCAGGCTGAGGGTCGATGGTCTTCCGGAGCGGAGCGCAAAGAGGCCTTTTCCAGAAAGGCAACTGGAGTTTCTTAGGGGGGTTTTTTCCCCCCTCGAAAATGTTTCGCTTCTCATCTAAGAAGCTTCTTCAGTACTTCAGTCCCTTCCTTTCTCCTTCCTCTTCCTTCCTGCCTTTCACTTCCTTCCTTTTTCCCGCTCTCTCCCCTCCCTCCCTTCCTTCTCCCTTCCTTCTGTTTCTTCCTGTCTCCCTTCTTCCTCTTCCCTTCCTTCTCCCTTCCTTCCTTGTTTCTTCCTGTCTCCCTTCTTCCTCTTCCCTTCCTTCTCTCTTCTGTTCCTTCCTGCCTTCCACTTCCTTCTTCCCGCTCTCTCTCCTTCCCTCCCTCCCTTCTCCCTTCCTTCTGTTTCTTCCTGTCTCCCTTCTTCCTCTTCCCTTCTTCTCCCTTCCTTCCTTCTGTTCCTTCCTGCCTTCCCCTTCCTTCCTTCTTCCCACTCTCTCTCCTTCCCTCCCTCCCTTCTCCCTTCCTCCCTTCCTTCTGTTTCTTCCTGTCTCCTTCCCTTCCTTCTCCCTTCCTTCCTTCTGTTCCTTCCTGCCTTCCCCTTCCTTCCTTCTTCCCACTCTCTCCTTCCCTCCCTCCCTTCTCCCTTCCTCCCTTCCTTCTGTTTCTTCCTGTCTCCTTCCCTTCCTTCTCCCTTCCTTCCTTCTGTTCCTTCCTGCCTTCCCCTTCCTTCCTTCTTCCCGCTCTCTCTCCTTCCCTCCCTCCCTTCTCCCTTCCTCCCTTCCTTCTGTTTCTTCCTGTCTCCTTCCCTTCCTTCTCCCTTCCTTCCTTCTGTTCCTTCCTGCCTTCCACTTCCTTCCTTCTTCCCACTCTCTCCTTCCCTCCCTCCCTTCTCCCTTCCTCCCTTCCTTGTTTCTTCCTGTCTCCTTCCCTTCCTTCTCCCTTCCTTCCTTCTGTTCCTTCCTGCCTTCCACTTCCTTCCTTCTTCCCGCTCTCTCTCCTTGCCTCTCTCCCTTCTCCCTTCCTCCCTTCCTTCTGTTTCTTCCTGTCTCCTTCCCTTCCTTCTCCCTTCCTTCCTTCTGTTCCTTCCTGCCTTCCACTTCCTTCCTTCTTCCCACTCTCTCCTTCCCTCCCTCCCTTCTCCCTTCCTCCCTTCCTTGTTTCTTCCTGTCTCCTTCCCTTCCTTCTCCCTTCCTTCCTTCTGTTCCTTCCTGCCTTCCCCTTCCTTCCTTCTTCCCACTCTCTCCTTCCCTCCCTCCCTTCTCCCTTCCTCCTTTGTTTCTTCCTGTCTCCCTTCTTCCCTTCCTTCTCCCTTCCTTCCTTCTGTTCCTTCCTGCCTTCCCCTTCCTTCCTTCTTCCCGCTCTCTCTCCTTCCCTCCCTCCCTTCTCCCTTCCTCCCTTCCTTCTGTTTCTTCCTGTCTCCTTCCCTTCCTTCTCCCTTCCTTCCTTCTGTTCCTTCCTGCCTTCCACTTCCTTCCTTCTTCCCACTCTCTCCTTCCCTCCCTCCCTTCTCCCTTCCTCCTTCCTTGTTTCTTCCTGTCTCCTTCCCTTCCTTCTCCCTTCCTTCCTTCTGTTCCTTCCTGCCTTCCCTTCCTTCCTTCTTCCCGCTCCTCTCTCCTTCCCTCCCTCCCTTCTCCCTTCCTCCCTTCCTTCTGTTTCTTCCTGTCTCCTTCCCTTCCTTCTCCCTTCCTTCCTTCTGTTCCTTCCTGCCTTCCACTTCCTTCCTTCTTCCCGCTCTCTCTCCTTCCCTCCCTCCCTTCTCCCTTCCTCCCTTCCTTGTTTCTTCCTGTCTCCTTCCCTTCCTTCTCCCTTCCTTCCTTCTGTTCCTTCCTGCCTTCCACTTCCTTCCTTCTTCCCACTCTCTCCTTCCCTCCCTCCCTTCTCCCTTCCTCCCTTCCTTGTTTCTTCCTGTCTCCTTCCCTTCCTTCTCCCTTCCTTCCTTCTGTTCCTTCCTGCCTTCCCCTTCCTTCCTTCTTCCCACTCTCTCCTTCCCTCCCTCCCTTCTCCCTTCCTCCCTTCCTTGTTTCTTCCTGTCTCCTTCCCTTCCTTCTCCCTTCCTTCCTTCTGTTCCTTCCTGCCTTCCACTTCCTTCCTTCTTCCCGCTCTCTCTCCTTGCCTCTCTCCCTTCTCCCTTCCTCCTTTGTTTCTTCCTGTCTCCCTTCTTCCCTTCCTTCTCCCTTCCTTCCTTCTGTTCCTTCCTGCCTTCCCCTATCTTCCTTCTTCCTGCTCTCTCTTCATCCCTCCCTCCCTTCTCCCTTCCTCCCTTCCTTCTGTTTCTTCCTGTCCCCCTTCTTCCTCTTCCCTTCCTTCTCCCTTCCTTCCTTCTGTTCCTTCCTCTTCTACTTCCTTCCTTCTTCCCGCTCTCTCCTTCCCTCTCTCCCTTCTCCCTTCCTCCCTTCTGTTTCTTCCTGTCTCCCTTCTTCCCTCCCTTCTCCCTCCCTCCCTTCCTTCCTCTTCCCTTTCTCCCTTCCTCCCTCCCTCCCTCTGTCCTCCCTCCCTCCCTCCCTTGTTCCTTCCTGCCTCCCTTTCTCTTCTTCCCTCCCTTCTCCCTTCCTTCCCTTCCTCCTTCCCCCCTTTCCCCTCTCCCTCCCCTTTCCTCTCTTTTTCTTCTCCTCCGCTCTCCCCTCTCTCTCCGAAGAACCGAAGAAGCTTTTGGGAGGAGAAGCGAAAGGTTTTCGAAGAAGGAACCCCAGAAAGTCCGGTTGCCTGGTGGAAATGCCCCTTTGGGCATTTAGACCAGTGGTGGTGAACCTATGGCAGGCGTGCCAGAGGTGGCACTCAGAGCCCTCTCTGTGGGCACGCGTACCATGCCCCTGAGATGGCAACCGTCCCTCTTCAACCAGCCGCCCGCTAACTTGCCGAGGTCACACATGGCCGGATGCATCCCAGCCCCCATGCGCTCGCTGGCCTCTGTGTGCGGGGGCCGATGGTGTCAGGCAGCAACCGCCCTGGCCCCTGCCCCCTCCTGCCCTGTGATAATGGCACCCCTGCCCTGCTCTCGCCTTATCCCATAGGATGAGCCTCCTGCCCACCGCCCCACCTGCCAGAGACCCTCTGGATCTCCCCCAACCCTGCCCGGCCCCCACAGGTGTCCCTCCTCATCAGCAACATCGAGGTGATCACGCCCACCTTGGCCACACCCACCCAATCTGCCACGACCACCACAGCCACAACCACCCAGTGGGCCACGCCCCCCTGGCACCCGGCGATAAATAAGTGGGTTTTGCGTTGCAGTTTGGGCACTTGGGTCTCTAAAACAGTGGTTCTCAACCTGTGGGTCGGGACCCCATTTGGGGTCGAACGACCATTTCACGGGGGTCGCCAAACAAGGCTGTCCGCCATTTTTCCCCCTCTTCTTTGGCTACGCCCCTGGCACCCGGTGATGTATAAGTGGTTGGGGGTCACCACAACATGGGGAACTGTATTATGGGGTCGCGGCATTAGAAAGGTTGAGAACCACTGCTCTCAAAGGTTCGCCATCATTGCCCTAGACACCCCCCCCCACTGCTTCCGAGTGCCAAGCCGGGGTCCCCCTCACCTGGTTCTTCAGCTGGGCGATCTCCCGCTTGCTGGGCGCGTTGTTCTTCAGGTGGTCCAGCATGACCTGCGCGTCCGCCAAGAGGGCCTTGGTGCGCTTGAGGTCCTTCCGTAGCCGCTTCTCCGCTTCAAAGTCCCGCTGGCTGACCTGGAAGGAGGGAAGGAAGCAGGGGAGTGGCGGGAGACCTGCAGCCTCGGCCGCCTCCCGGGCGGAGGAGGCTGGAGAGCAACCGTCCCACTCCGGAGGACGGGGTCAAACGGGGAACTAGCCTGGAATTGCTGCGTTATCACAAGCGGGCACCTCCCCGAATGAGCCTGGTCTAGTCTTTCCCAGTGGAAAGCTGCCGGTTTAGGAAGATTTCCTGTAGAACAGGCACCAAGCAATGGAGTTGCCGGTTTGAACTCCCCACCGTGAGGGTCTCGGACAAGGGGGTACCTGGTCGCTGGCGGCCACCAGCTTGCTCTCCAGCTCTCTCTTCTCCCGCAGCACCTTCTGCTTCTCCTCGTAGGCCTCTTCCAGCTGCAGCTCCAGCTGCTTCAGCTGTGGGGGGCAGAGAGAGGCAGGTCAGGATAGGTGGAGCCTGGCCGGTGGTCTCTGGCCAGGCCCTTCGGCCAGTCTCCCTTGGCTGGAGTCGAGGGACCCCTTTTCTAGCGTCGCACCTGTCAGAGCCCCTAGCCCAGATCTACATACACCTGTGGGGGGGGGGTCACCTGAGAAAGCAGGAAGGAGGACAGGGCGAGGAATGGCCACATCACCTGGGAGTTGAAGTCCACAAGCATGAGTCTTCCAGCTTGGCCCTTTGATGACTGGTGGACTTCAACTCCCAGAATTCCTCAGCCAGGAGGCTTTAAGACAGGGGTCTTCCAGCTTGGCCCTTTTAGGACTGGTGGACTTCAACTCCCAGAATTCCTCAGCCAGGCACGCTGGCTGAGGAATTCTGGGAGTTGAAGTCCACAAGCAGGGCTCTTCCAACTTGGCCCTTTGATGACTGGTGGACTTCAACTCCCAGAATTCCTCAGCCAGGAGGCTTTAAGACAGGGGTCTTCCAGCTTGGCCCTTTTAGGACTGGTAGACTTCAACTCCCAGAATTCCTCAGTCAGGAGGCTTTAAGACAGGGGTCTTCCAGCTTGGCCCCTTGATGACTGGTGGACTTCAACTCCCAGAATTCCTCAGCGAGGTAGGAACCAAATGGAAGGGTCTGGCAATGGGGGGGGGGCGGTGGACGAGCCCAGAGGGGGCACTTAAATTGACGGCTTCCAAAAGATCTAGAAATGCTGACGGCCGGGATCGGAAAGCACGGAGGTTCCTTGAGTTTCAACTGTCACTCAGCCTGCCCGTCAACTGTCGGAAGTCGTAACGGTCGTAAAACCGACCCAGTTGTATGTTTGTTTGTTTGTTTGCTTTTTATTTTTACAAAATTGTATTGGTTTTCTATTTTTACGCCTCACAAGTGCTTGGCAGACGACGTGTTGTCTGGGTTCGTTTGTTTTTTTTTTTTTACTTAAAAATATGTATTAAAATGATTCCCTATCTTCTTTTTTCTTTGTTCTTCAATATCGCTCTGTCGGTTTCTACACATTCTGGCATTTTCTTAATCCTCTCTTTTTTTTTTTCAGATCACGTCTCTTCACTTTTCAAACCCTCCACAAATGCAATTCTTAGTGCTGTTAATACACGCAACATACATACACACGCCGTTAACTAATGCTTATTTGTCATGTTTTCTAATATTATATCCACTGAAAATAGTTCCAATTTATAACATCTTTTCTATCTAGTTATATTTTCAGTTACGATCACCTTGTTAAGCCCGCTTCTTTCAGTTTTGTTTTCCCTTCGGCATTCAAAACGTCTTTATAGGTTATGATTTCCTCCAAGTTAATTGCATTAAGGAGAGTAAAAGCTCCCCTTATTAAAACTCATCTTGTTGTTTTCATGTTTCCCATCTCATAGAAAAGCAGACCCTCTTACTTATAAATCGTATCTTTCTAAATATAATGATCTTTTTAGTATCTGAGCGTTATCTATTTCCTTTAGTTTAGCCTTAATCGAACACCTGCGTGGTCATATAAGGCCCCAACCAGTATGAGTTGAAGTCCAATAGTGTTGAAGTCCACAAGCAGAGGTCTTCCAGCTTGGCCCTTTTGTGACTGGTGGACTTCAACTCCCAGAATTCCTCAGCCAGGAGCTTTAAGACAGGGGTCTTTCAACTTGGCCCTTTGATGACTGGTGGCCTTCAATTCCCAGAATTCCTCAGCCAGCCTCCATTTTGTTTGTTAGATTTAAGACAGGGGCCTTCCAACTTGGCCCTTTGATGACTTGAGGACTTCAACTCCCAGAATTCCTCAGCCAGGATGCTTTAAGACAGGGGTCTTCCAACTGGGCCTTTTATGACTTATGGACTTCAACTCCCAGAATTCCTCAGCCAGGATGCTTTAAGACGGGTCTTCCAACTTGGTCCTTTGATGACTTGAGGACTTCAACTCCCAGAATTCCTCAGCCAGGATGCTTTAAGACAGGGGTCTTCCAACTGGGCCTTTTATGACTTATGGACTTCAACTCCCAGAATTCCTCAGCCAGGATGCTTTAAGACGGGTCTTCCAACTTGGCCCTTTGATGACTTGTGGATTTCAACCCCTCACCTTTAATTTTATTTCTTTGCATTTCCTGTTTCTGCCCACCTCCCACGAGGAAGGGCTTTGGGTGGTTTTTATAAGTAACTCAAGACAGTGAACATCCATAATGCTCCCTCTTCCTCCTATTTTCCTCTAACAACAACCCTATAAGGTAGGCCGGGTCCAGAAAGAGCAACCGGCCCAAAGACAACCAGGTGGCTTTGCAGCCTAAGGCAAGACTAGAACTCACACGCCTCCTGGTGATTGGCCCAAAGTCACCCAGCTGGCTTTTGTAATTAAGGGGGAACTAGAACTCACAGCCTCCTGGTGATTGGCCCAAAGTCACCCAGCCGGCTTTTGTAATTAAGGGGGAACTAGAACTCACAGCCTCCTGGTGACTGGTCCAAAGTCACCCAGACAGCTTTTGTAATTAAGGGGGAACTAGAACTCGCAGCCGCCTGGTGATTGGCCCAAAGTCACCCAGCCAGCTTTCGTACCTAAGGCAGGACTAGAACTCACATCCTCCTGGTGACTGGCCTGAAGTCACCTAGGCAGCTTTTGTAATTAAGGGGGAACTAGAACTCACAGCCACCTGGTGACTGGCCCAAAGTCACCCAGCCAGCTTTCATGCCTAAGGTGGGACTAGAACTCACAGCCGCCTGGTGATTGGCCCAAAGTCACCCAGCCAGCTTTTGTAATTAAGGGCGAACTAGAACTCATAGCCTCCTGGTGACTGGCCCAAAGTCACCCAGCCAGCTTTCATGCCTAAGGCGGGACTAGAACTCACAGCCTCCTGGTGACTGGCCCAAAGTCACCCAGCCAGCTTTTGTAATTAAGGGGGAACTAGAACACAGCTGCCTGGTGATTGGCCCAAAGTCACCCAGCCAGCTTTGGTAATTAAGGGGGAACTAGAACTCACCGTCTCCTGGTGATTGGCCCAAAGTCATCTAGCTGGCTTTCAGGCCTAAGGCGGAACTAGAACTCACCGTCTCCTGGTTTCTAGCCAGGCGCCTTCATCATTGATGGATTAAATTAGGGGGACTGTGTGTTTTGACCTATCCTATTTGAAGCACCCCATTTTCCTTTCTTCCTGCTTTCCTTAGCTTTTTTTTACTAGGGCCCCCCCCCCAGTCCTGTTTTAATTCCCCAATTCCCAAATCTGAACATTTAAAAAAAAAGGGGGGGAAAGAATTGCCAGCAAGACGTCCCAGCCTGGAGAGTATTAATTCCTCCATCACATTTCCCCTGAAAGAAAAGCACCACGTGGCCAAGCAATAAAGACATTATTCTCCGGCTGTCAGCTGATTAGAGAGCATTTTAATTAGTTAATCATATGTATATCAAGCAATTAATTAATCTAACTTAAGAATGCAAAACAAATTTGCCTTTTAAGCGTTGCCCAGGGACAAAGCCGGAAGTCTCCGCTCCATCAACAAACAGAAGCTAACCTTGTTTTGAAAATATCCTCCCGCAGCTAAACCAGCTTTTGGAATAAAAGAGGTTTAATCCTGGGTTTGTGGTGACAGAACACCCCCCCCTTGTGGGCCCTCTCCCCACAATGTCCAATCAACTTTCATTTCTCAAGGAGCATTCCCAGATGTTTTTCGACCCCTGAAGACCCTCCGTATCGGGGAGACAGGGAACACCCCCCCCCCGTTTGTAGCAGAGACATGCACTTCTGCGTGACAAGGCTTGTGGCTGGCTAGTTTTGATCCTGGTTTGCCTTGCAGCCTTTCTTCTTTCGTAGAACAGTGGTTCTCAACCTGTGGGTCGGGACCCCATTTGGGGTCGAACGACCATTTCACGGGGGTCGCCAAACAAGGCTGTCCGCCATTTTTCCCCCCTTTTCTTTGGCCACGCCCCTGGCACCCGGTGATGTATAAGTGGTTGGGGGTCACCACAACATGAGGAACTGTATTATGGGGTCGCGGCATTAGAAAGGTTGAGAACCACTGTCGTAGAACATAGAATTACAGAGTTGAAAGGGATCTCAGAGGTCTTCTAGTCCAACCCCCGGCTTGAGCAAGAGACCCTAAAGCCAGGGGTCTTCCAACATGGCCCTTTTAGGACTTGTGGACTTCAACTCCCAGAATTCCTCAGCCAGCCTCCATTTTGTTTGTTAGATTTAAGACAGGGCCCTTCCAACTTGGCGCTTTGATGACTTGTGGACTTCAACTCCCAGAATTCCTCAGCCAGGAGGCTTTAAGACAGGGCTCTTCCAACGTGGCCCTTTCATGACTGGTGGACTTCAACTCCCAGAATTCCTCAGCCAGCCTCCATTTTGTTTGTTAGATTTAAGACAGGGCTCTTCCAACTTGGCCCTTTGATGACATGGGGACTTCAACTCCCAGAATTCCTCAGCCAGGAGGCTTTAAGACAGGGGTCTTCCAACGTGGCGCTTTGATGACTGGTGGACTTCAACTCCCAGAATTCCTCAGCCAGCCTCCATTTTGTTTGTTAGATTTAAGACAGGGCTCTTCCAACTTGGCGCTTTGATGACTTGTGGACTTCAACTCCCAGAATTCCTCAGCCAGGAGGCTTTAAGACAGGGGTCTTCCAACTTGGCCCCTTGATGACTTGTGGACTTCAACTCCCAGAATACCTCAGCCAGGCACGCTGGCTGAGGAATTCTGGAAGTTGAAGTCCACAAGTCTTAAAATCCCCAAGTTTGGACATCCTTATCCTATGTACACAATCCTCAATTTACGAACACAATTGAGCCCAAAATTTATGTTGCTAAGC